TACATTAAAATTTTTTTGTGTTTTGCTCTAAATTTTAAGGATTTATTTGACTAGGTTTTGTAACCAACTTAAAGCACCACCTTAAAGCACCGCCTTAATTTGATATAATCGGTGTTTGTTTTTGTAGTTTTTTTGATTTAAGTTTTTTTTGATTTAGGTTTTTTTTAAATTTAATATAGTTTGATGAGATCTTGTATGTGCTAGGCTAATTGTAGGATTTGGTAGTCTTTTTGTTAAGGCCAATTTAATTTTGTAAAGTCTAGAAATTTTATATTAATTAAGCTCAAAAAAAGGTTTTTTAAAAATTGTCAATTTTCTTTCCCATTATCATAATGATTTGAGCAATCAGATTTTTGTATAATGAAACAGATAATAGTAAAATACAATAACAAACTAATAAGCATCCCAGCTAATATGATCGAAGTATCAAATGTATCAAGTTTAAATTGCTCCATTACGATTACGATTACAACGATTGCTAATTTCTGAAAAAAATTGATATTCAATTTATACATATAGCTAATTGTTTAAATCTGTTTACATGTTTATGGATAATAATTTAACCAAAGTTTGTTTATATCATCCCTGATAACCTAATAATTATTGTTCGCTTAATTCTTAGTTCGTTAAATTGTATGTAATTTAAAAAGATCAATTGATGAACACCATTATTTCAATACTATTTATAGAATCAAAATAAAGAAAATTTTGTCGAAATAGCCTTGCTTAATTTTTTTTTTTGTTGGGCAGTATAAATAGTATCTATTTCAAAAACTACTGTATCCATATTTCTAGTTACACAATGATTTCATCTTTAATTAATAGTACCAACATTCTGATTGGCCAAATTTAATCACGAGTCATATTTTCTAAATTTAAATAACCGTACAGTTCTATAAGGCAACATAGCACTATAATATTACATATTTCTTTTAGAATTTTATATGATACAATATTTAATTATATAATCAGCAGGGTTTGGATTAAAAAAAAATTCAAGAAAATTTTTAGCATAAATACATCCAAGATTTGCTGATTCTTTAATTAGATTAATAGCATTTTCTATTTCTAGATTACTAGCGTTTCTTTTATTATATAATTTTGTTCCCATTAAATAAAAAATGAAGGATTTAATATAAATATTTCTTTTGAAACTTTCAGAATTTTTTAAAAGATGAAAGATATCATCCAACCTTCCTTTTTCTTCGGCATATTGAAAAAGATTGCGAATATGGTTTAAAAATTTATTTTCTGCTATTAGTAAATCATTTTCATATACTTCAAAAATTTTGTATACTTTGTAGATATCATTTGATCTCTTAAGTGAAGACATTGTACTGGAAGTTGCTTTATTGAGGTAAATGGATTATCGAGTTTTTATAGAATGAGAATTTCATAAATGATTTTTTATATAAATATTAATCAAGAAAATAAATACAATAAATACAATGTAATTTTAATTTAAATTTATTTACTAATTTTTTTATTCCTATTTAATCCGTACCTATTTAATTTTAAATGTTTGAAATAAATTGAATTCAATTTATATTTTTTTTATTTAAACATGCAATATAAGTAAATGATATAATTATATAATTGTATAATTTAAATCTGGTATTCAAAAATCTTTTATTTAAGTATAAATGATTGTGTTCATTACTAATTAATAAATATTTCCAAAAATATATTTGAAGCATTTTTGTTGTTGATATAGTCAAATATACCACTGAAACCATCAATACAATATATCTACATACCGTATTTTCGCGTAATAACGCGCAAGGGTGTAATTTTGAATTTTGGTCTAAATTAAGCTTAATTCGGGCCAAAATTTGAAATAACGCTCATGGGCGTTATTACGTAAAAATACCATGCCTTTTAGATTGTCTATCTTTATAACCAAAGTAAATATTTTTCGTTTTACGAATTTAAGAAAAAACTGAAAATAATTTATTTCATTCTTGTCCATTTTGAGATATGTTTGTTTTTCGCTTTATCAACTATCAAATGGATTGATTCGATTGGCTATAGTTAAAAAGCTAAACTAACTAATCAATCAATTAGCATATATTTATATGTCTATGGCCCCATAAAGCAATGCCCGAAGGAGCACCATTTAAGTTCCTATTAATTTAAGATCCATTCATATCACTATTCCTTCTAAATTATTTTTAATATGCCTATAAAACTCAAATGCTTCTGAAACAGACGTTATTACAACTTTGTCAAATTCTTCCATTTTGGAAATCAATCACTTGCTGTGCCCAACTCATTATTTTTCGACTATGTATATTTGCAATAATTTTTTGATTATCTTTGTTCACAGATTAAATATTTCCGTGTTACTGATTCGAAAGAAAATGAGAATGAGAAATGGAATGTCTATTTATTTCATTGTCCATTCTTGCCCGTTTTTGATATGTTTGTTTGTTTGCTGAATTGATTATCGACATAAGAATCTAGGAATTCTTTCAATTACTTTAGCTAACAAATTTATATATTTACTGCTAAATATCTCAAATTTTTTTTAGGCTCGCCAATAATTATGCCTCGCAGTAGTA